TCATATCTTAAAATATGAACCTCTATTCAGTTACTGAGTATTGGTTAGACACATACTTGAAAAAGTAACTACATCTTACCAAATTTTTGAAGACAGTATAGACGACCTAGTTATACAAGTAATGCCTCATTTCGACTTCAAGTGACAAGTACAACCCCCTACTCTAATTAGTACATGATTGACGAGTTTTATTCTAACAACTACCTAAAAACAGCGTTCTGTGAGTACTGGTGGACTGATGCTATATAATTTGCGATTAAATGGCAAACTGTAGATAGCACAAAAGGTTTTATCATTGAGATTGAAAACTATCATTATCGATGTGTCTAACTTTTGAGTGGGTCGAAAATGGTTCTTCATGGAATGAACATTTATCTGTTTGCAGTTTATTAACTTTTCTTATCAAGAGACTTGAAATCAAGAAACCTAATTAACCACCTCAATAGATATTTATGGATAAGGCAATAAGCCACCTTTATTTTGTAATGCTTAATATGATAATAACTAGCAGTTTAAACCTCAGTGGGTACTGTGTACTTTGATTCAAAATTCGAGTGTCGAAACACAAAACAGTCGATTTTAGCACCAGAGACAGACAAATAAAATAGTTTGTTCAAAAATAAATTGGTTTATACATAAGTACAAGTGCACTCACTTCAATGAATAAATTACCATGTAGCTCCGAAAGTTTTTCACGATTTAAACCACTGCGCACATGTAAGCCATCAACATTTTGAGAAACGACATGTCGAACCTGAGATTATACAGAGACGAAAGTTTTTGTTAATCATCAACTTAGCAATTAGTCAATCAGTTCGATATGACTGCTAATGTCAACAGTAAGTGAAGTTCAGATGAAGAAACAAAAAAGTTAATTCCACATTTTATTGTTTGCTGAAACATTTATACAGCTAGTGACAAACCCTAGGTACAAATTTAGTCTTGTGAGCATTTAGACTGATAAATACCTTTACAGCTAAGTAGCATAATGATCACTGACACAAAATAGAGAAATGCTGAAGAGGATTTTGAGATAAGAAAAAAGCCTTGCTTTGCATACATGTGTTAATTACAGTAACAGTCAAATTAGGCTGTTTGGAACGTCTATCTACGAAGTCCACCATGCTAGAGGGGATGAACAGATGTTGATGACAAAGTCATTTCGCTAGATGAATATAGATATGATGGCAAACTACTTCTCTCTTGGCCAAATGGGAATTACATGGGTGCTGCCTTTTAATACCGAAAGTTCAACGATCACACCATAAAACAGCACATTTGGCTGATTCACAGCTTTCTCTTCTCAGGGGTAAAGAAAATGTAAAGCCCGAAGAAATTTAAACTATTCACTTAACCTCTTTCAGTGTAAAAGTACCGATCATACAACCTGCTTTTTATGCGACCACTGCTGATTATTTCTACCAACAAGATAACACCCTGCGTATTTAAAACATTACAGTCAACTGCACATCGTAGCTTTCAACAACAGCTTATATCAAACAGAACAGTAAACTAGGATGTCATATCAGAGTAATGCTTCACATCTTAGGCTGACAGAAATTTTCAGGTAACAGCTGCAACAACAATCATTTTATGAAATCAAAGTCTCTACAAGAGAGCTTTTATTATAACATTTTTGCCCAACTTTAAACCACATAGTGAACATTTCATTAAAGCCTATAATTCCAACTAAAAAGTGTGAAAAGAACTTGATTTTACTTGAACGATAGTAACTCAACTAGTGAGAACGAAAATCCTTACACAACAAGACTTAGTGCTACGAATATTTCCTGAATTAATATACATCTCAAGTAAACACTTTTATATAATTGCAGCCATCCCGTTAGGGTATATCAGTTGGTACACATACTTCAAGAACGCTATCTACAGTGAATCTCTTTATCATAGTATAAATTCATCAGTTTAAGTGTTCATAGTAAAGTGACAGCTTATCAAAGATCCTACAATTAAGACAATTTTATTGAATTAAAGGCAATTACATGGGATTCAAGAACAAGTTTAAAAGAAACTCAAATTCATACTATTAAGTTGGTACGTACATATCCTTCATCTACCAAAACTTTGATAGCCATATGAGTGAATGTTGGCTTTGCAATGGTTGCTTCTGGAAGTCGTAACTTTAAGTTGGTGTTTTTTGACTTTTTAGGAGTTTTAATTCGTGATTCACATTGACGTATTTTATCCTAATAAATAAAGTGCAGATATTTTGTATTATACCTGTAGTTTCAGCATCTCAGTATAGTTCGCTTGATCATTTTTGTTATAACCAACGGTACGTAGCACTAAACTAATAATCTGATCATAACGTGATACCTGAATTAACGCCTGTTACGCGATTAGAATGCACAGTCCACAAACCGTTTGTCCCCCTATAATCTGGGATGCACGCCGATGTACTTATGCCAGCACCAGTATAAATGACAATACTCCCTTTGTTATCTTTAATGAGGCGAGCCAAAATGGCTGCATCACGATGCCAATCTTGAGATGCCTGAAATCAAAGAACATTACAATCTTAAAGAAATGTCAACTCATCGCAAATTTACCATTATAAAAAAATATATGCGAACGAAAAGTTTTTTCCAATATATTCTCATGTTCTACGGTAGTAAGACCAAATTAATGAACCAATAAAATAAGCACGTTTACAGCGAACAGGTTCTTTGAAATTATAGCGCATGAATTTAGGATTGTTAGAAGAACATTGCTCATATTGTAACCAATAGTTAATACTAACTTAAATAAATCTAAAAAAAATCAACTCAAATTGTGAAACCAATAATCAGAATAAATATGGGTACATTAAAAAGAGAAAAATAATGTGACTGAAAATTACAGAAAGGGTTTCGTCGAAGATTACATAGTGCGTAAAATGATATGAATTGAGTGATAATGTTAATTCCATACAAAGTATAGGAAGAGGCTGGAGATACTTATGATATACACTAAGCCCCAGTATTCCGATCACTATAACCATCGCTTCTACCATTTGACAGACATTGGAAGGTGATTACTAACACGACGGATTTATCCTGGCTATATGATTCGTCTGAACTAAATAGGGCGGGACTGAGCTATTTACGGTTTTACTATTTCGCTTACCCATAATGGAGGAATTAAGGAGCGAGAAAATGTGAATCCATGAATCGTCGGTGAGTGTGACTTGCTGCACAGTAGTCGAATAGATAAATACAAAGGGCTTAGTAGTTTGGTTGATCAGCCCTTAAGTATGTGACACCACCATAAGCACGGAGAACTTGTTGCTTAACACTCTCTCCACTATCCTGAGTAATTTCGGGATTATTACTTTACTGGCAACACGACCTCTGGATTGTAGAGATTTCCTATTAGAAGTCTAAATATCTGCTTTACAAAATTTGTAACCAGATATTTGTTTGTAAATATCCCACAAATTAATTTTTTCTCAGTATTATGCACGGCTTTCAGATTTTCTGTGATAGTATGAGTAGAGAATATGGCCGCTATGTCGTAAATAAGTGGTCTTATTAAGTTTGTTTCGTACTGCAGAAACACAAGGTTGGAGAAATGTGTATTTTCCACCACCCAAGTATTTTCTTGTTTAAATTCCTTATCCATTTATCAACTCGTTTCGCTAGCAAAACATCCTACCTTAACGTTCATCACATGCGAACTCAGTGACAGAGTATACTTCGTCAAATTGCCTATGATCTCTGGTACTATTTTTATAAAGGATAACTGTATCCACCATACGACAGTAAAGTCTGAACTCATGAGTAAGCTTATAAAGTGGACCGTTTACAAGTTTAATTGAAAATGTGTCAGCTAATATAGACTTGATGGTAAACTCATTGAGGCCAATCCTTTGTTTGTAGATTTTGCCGTTACAAATTAAATATTGTGATAAAGTAATAACACTTATGATGGCAAACGAAATTCCTTTGTTTCATTTCTTCCGAGTTACCGACATATATATTCGACGGTCACCATGGTTGGAACAATTAAGAATCATGATGTTACATCTAGAGGCTCTGTCTTTGTTTTGAAGTGTTTACACGTTTGCTCTTGCTGACAATTCGGGAGATATAGTTAGCACTACTTCACAATCTTCGTGTAGAGGGGTTTCAAAGTAGTTACCAACCCATTCATAATAGTATAAGAGAAGTTATACATATCTGTTGGTCTCGATGGATATTCGACAACTCATATAACCGTGATAAATGAGTTTCCATCGCCGTAATTGTTTCGTACGAGTTTGACAAAACCATATATTAATCTTCGAGCATCATTGAAGATTTTATAAGGTTATTCTCTATACCGTCAGTAAGATCATTTTGGTTAGTCAGTTCCTGGAAATCTTTCTCTCGAGAATAAATTCCGACTCTTTATCCACTTTTAAAGTCGAAAAATGTTTAGAATTTGTCAGTGTATTAATGATATCCTAGTGTTTCTTCGTCAGAAAGCTCCTGTTGTTATTTCTGTTGTTCCTATATTGGCAATAAGTAGATTTGATTTGAAACGTCCTAGTTCCATATCACAATGCGGTACTACACATAATATAAAAGTACTAAGGTTTTTTGAACTGAATGTACGTATTTACATGATCTTAATGATTGTATCGAAAAGTTTTAGAACGAAGGGCAATACCTTTAGCTTTTTTGTTTAGTTTGGTACAAAACGCTTACGACAATTCCTCTCAAGATTTGCTGTCTGCCATTTGATCTTCTGGAGCTCCGAAAATAAGTTATTTATCCACTTTGTTTCGTAAACCAACATTAAACTAATACATATGAGAAAGTGAAGCGATGTTTAGACCGAAACAGTGGTCGAAAGCTGAGTGACTTGTCAGTGAAGTGGAATGAATAGAAGCTCCATAAAAAGTCATTATTGGCCTTCTATCCACTATGATTAATACCCAAAGAAAACCTTGGTATCGATAGGCACCACTACATGTACTATATGATGTGACATAATAATATTACAAAGAATTGGAAAAGAAATCACACAACCAATATACAGGTAAAAATGTATAGATAAATATTTTCAGCGAGCTCACAACCAAGATGCATTTTATTGTTAGAAGTTTCTACCACCTGACAGAAATACAACAGGAAAATTCCCACTGGGCGAAGCATATATCCAATTGGAGTTGTACGATCGTTAGACCATTCGGTAATAATCGAACACAGCCACCCTTCACTATGTGCAGCCAAGCTACTAGCTTTCTGTTTTTCCAACCGGTTAGTGACGAGCAGTGTGGAGGATATTGGGATAGAACATGTAGAACGTGACCAGGCTGATGAAGCCGTGTTAAATACTAAAATGAAGACACTTCCACACATGACTTGACAAGCACCCATAACAAGGACCAAAAGAAACGAAAATTCACTATGGTTGAGGTCTGTTAACTCAGGTGTTTTATTATGTCACCATCCTCTGATAAAACATATTCCACAGCCGAATATCAGTGTCACAATATTGATCGGTCAAAGTATCTTTAGAAACACCCATTATAACAGTGACTTAGTGGTTAAGGCATTGTCACTTTATTCACCTTCGGCTACATAGGCTTGGTCAGGTGTCCAAACTTGTACCTAGTAAATGAGTCGCCAACCGGTATGATGTACATCATACCGGTTGGCAACTTTAGTACGTACTATAGCTTCATCTATCACATCTGTACAAGGTGATCAGTGTAAGTCCCGACTTCCGCACACAAATGACTTAATACGAGTCGTGGTTTGAGATGTACATTAACCTCTGGAATTAAAGGCTGAGAGATGAAAATTCTCAAGGAATGTAAATAATTGTTTACTTTCACTGTGAGTGGACATCAACTTTTGAAAATTAATGATTACAGAATAATTTCGAAGAAATATCTTTTAATTTTTAAGTAATAAGTGGTTATCTAAACTCCGAGATATTAGTTGTGACAACAAACATCAAAAAGTAGACAGTTGAAAACTGCGCCAGATCTCTGTTTGTGTTCTGATTGGTTCATAAATGGTCCGAATGTTTCTCGATGGAATAGGATGAACTTTCGCTTAACAGGACTTCGTATTTAGCAGCAGTGAATCACAGATGCCTCCAGGTAATAACCTAGGCATGTTTGCCTTTATTCCTTAAGAATATGTCACTTCTTCTAAGGCACTCCCGACAATCTGATTGAACTACCTTAGTCGGGAGAGCGTTCCATAATTTGACTTCTCGTGAATAGTAAAAGACTTACCTACAGTTGATTCTACTATTTTGTGTCTCTAATTTCCGGATACTCCTAAAGTTTCCTTGAAACTCATCTTTGTCACATTTGGAGTAACACATCAGATCATAGGATATCAACACTTCAAAATCTTTTTCAACTTGAGATACCTCTACAGTGGAGTTACCTGAATTGTATTCGCATTCCGTGACATGACTCAGATGGGCTACCTTACACCTTGAAGCGATAAAGGTAAGTCCGTTGTCATCTGCACAGCTTTTAATTTGAGTCAGATCCTGTGGAAGTGCCAGTTTATCCTCGTGGTTGGAAACTTCTCTTCAGAGTTTTACATAATCAGCGAAAAGCAATAACTGACTATACTTGCTCTGAGAGATTGTTTATACAAGTTAAGAATAGAAGAGGTCCAAGTGCTGAAACATGGGAGACCCAACTAGGACATTCCACGGCGAGAAAATGAAGTTAACCCTGATATTAAAAAGCTGATTACTTGAATATGAAGTATGTCAATCAACTAGTGGTAATTTGATTCCCATTCGTTCGAGTTTATTGATATGACATATATAAATGACCTTATTTAAAGCCTTTAAGAGGTCAAGATATAGGACATCAACCTTTCCCTTGAGATCAGGGTTGGTCATGAAGATGACACAGGTATTCAGTGTTTGACAACGCTTTTACCAGCAACACCTTCTAATATAATTTGTACCCACCGAGAGAAATCAAAAGACACAGTCGAGGAGATCGGAAGAGTTTATTTGGCGATAACCAATATATCAGAATTCTCTGATCTAATCTGGCCAGCGATTGCGGTAGATGTTGAGCACAGCGTTACCACACGTGATCTGGTGCGGATGCATGACCGAACGCCTCCGGCTAGATGAGTCCACTAAAACATACGGTCAGCATCCAATGTCGAAAACTTACAGGGCTATTTATTTTGAGGATTTATTTACCACTACAGATCACTCACCCCCTAGTGGGATAGTGATGACCCTAAGACGTGGCTAGCCAGAAGTTTAAATCCAACGAATTTTGTCGTTGGCAAACACTCTTTTGATAGCTTGCTAGGTTTAGTAGCGTCTGGACGTCTTTCCTTAATATATGGGACCGAGGTACAACATAGTAAAAAAAGAAAAAGTACAATGAAAATTTCGGCTCCTCGTAAACTTCATCGTTTTTTTTCAGCCGTCCTGGAAAAAAAAGAAAGTGTAAGTGCATATCGAAATACACTCGTTTGTGCGTAAAAAACACAATGTTGGCGAAACAAAATGGAAAATAAACTCATATACACGTAATGTCGTTAAAAATGGATTGTTATGTTTTTTTGTTGGTTTTTTTTTCAAATAAAAATATAAATACATAAGAACATTGAAATTGTTTTTTAAAAAAATATTATAAATCGTAAAAAGAAAGATCGAGATAATATAAAATGTCGAGTAGTGCCTTACGTGCAGTAGTCGTTTAAATGTTCTGGAAATCTTACTCTTCTTCCAGAACGCGTCGTTTTAAGTTTATTTTCAGATGCATTCGGAGTATCATCGATAGTGTTGGTTGTCGGTCGAGGAATTATAAGTGTCGGAGTCGTGTCGTTCGATAGTACCGAAGGAAAATCGACGAAGGTAAGATTTCCTTCTAAATACGCTGCTTTTAAGCGATCGATGCTGATGCTATCGTTGGTTCCGTTCTTATTGATTATATAGTACCTAGGTTCGTGTTGAAGAACTTTGGAAGGTCCTTCGTATGCTGATTCGAAGGGTCATCGATGCGAGTCTCAACGCACGAAGACGTATGTACTATATCGTAAGTCAGGTTGAACGAAAACATTGGTTGATTGTGTTCGAGTGGAAGCAGGTTTAACTGAACGTATTGCGTTTGTAAGCCTGTTCGTGTAGTAGGTTAGATCCATGTTCATTGAAGAGGACGAAAGATCCACGAATTCTCCTGTAAGTCGAAGTGTCGTTCCATAAACGAGTTGAGCCTCAGTGTATCAAATGTCAGATTTCACTGCATTGCGAATACCCAGTAAGACGAATGGAAGAGCTTCGGTCCACTGTGAAACGTTTGCAGCTGATAGTGAAGCTTTTAGTTGTCGGTGAAAACGTTTTACCAACCCGTTTGCTTGTGGATGGTAGGCGGTCGTTCGAAAGCGAGTGATTCCTAAAGGTGTGGTCAGACGACGGAAAAGATCAGATTCAAACTGCCGTCCGCTGTGGTTGAAGGGCAGCCGAAGTTTGCTACCCATCGTTCGACGAAGGCGCGGGCCACTGTTTCAGCAGTGATGTCCTTGATAGGTACTGCTTCTGGCCATCGAGTGAAACGGTCTACTCAGATTAAGAGGTAAGAATATCCATTTGAATCTGGTAAAGGTCCTGCCAAATCCAAATGAACATGGTCGAAACGAGCAACGGGAGTTTCAGTGAGCGTAAAGGACATTTATTGTGTCTGATAACCTTAGATGTTTGGCAGCTTACACAGGAGCGTGCCCACTCCTTCACGTCTTTATTCATGTCAGGCCAGCAAAACCGTTCTGATATAAGCTTGCTTGTTGCACGAACGCCTGGATGAGAAAGTTTGTGCTATGTATTGAAGACATTGCGTCGATAATGTTTCGGCACGATTGGACGATCCCTACCTGTAGATGTGTCACAAAGTAAGGTTTCCTTACCCGTTCCCATCTATTTGATGCGTAGTTTGAGGGTTGTAGACGATAACTCGTGTTGAAGATCACTGTCTTCTTTTTGAAGCTCGGCGAGTTTAAGAAGGTCGATTCCTTGGAAAGTGTTCAAGGACGTTATGCGAGACAAGGCGTCTGCAACTACATTGTTTGCTCCAGAAATATGTTGAATGTCTGAAGTAAACTGCGAAATGTAGTCCAGTTGTCGAGACTCACGAGGTGAGTACTTGTCTGAAGGAGAGCTTAGAGAGGAGGTGAGCGGTTTATGGTTAGGGAAAAGAGTGAATTCACGACATTCGATGTAGTGTTGAAAATGTCGTACAGCACAATACATAGCTAGGGGTTCCCTACCGAATGTGCTGTACCTCGATTCGGTGTCTAGCAACCGTCTAGCGAAAAATGCCAAATGTTATTAGGAGTTGTTAACCCATTGTTGTAAGACTCCTCCGATTGCTGAGTCGGATGCGTCTACTGCGATGCTAATGTAAGCTTGAGTGTCCTGATGTGCAAGCAATATGTTCCTTAATTATGGAGAATGCTTCTCGTGCGGTGTCGTCCAAAACAATGGATTTCACATTTCCACGAAGTTGGTCGGTTAGCGGTTTCATGAGTAAAGCGCATTTAGGTACGAATCGTCCATAGAAACTTATAAGGCCGTTAAACGTTCATAGTTGCTTAAACGTGGTCGGTTCTGGGTAATCCAGAATTACCGCCACTTTGGTCCTAAGGGGTTGAATGCCTTGAGCATCTATAGTGTGTTCTAGGAAGTTTAATGAGTCGGTCTCGATTTGGCATTTCTGAACGTTTACAGTAATGCCATGTTTTTGTAGTCCTTTGAAAACAAGATCGAGATGCTTGAGATGTGATTCTCTGTCCGGACATGCGATTAAGCAGTCGTCAACATACGCGTGTACGAAGTTGAGACCTCGAAAAACGTCGTCTATGAATCTTTGGAATGTTTGAGCAGCATTCCTTAGACCGAAAGGCATTCGCAAAAATTCATAGAGTCCGAAGGGAGTTATGATAGCCGTTTTCGGTATGTCGTCAGTAGCCATAGGGATTTGGTTATACGCTTTAACCAAGTCGATTTTCGAAAAGACAGTTGTACCTTTCAAGGTAGCTGTCAAATCGTGAATGTGAGGCAACGGGTAACGATCGGGAATGGTTTTCGCGTTCAATCGCCGATAGTCACCAGTTGGACGCCAATCGTTGCTGTCCTTTTTAGGGACCATGTGCAACGGAGGTGCATATGAGCTACTTGACGGTCGTATGATTCCTAAGTCCATCATGTGATCGAATTCGTTTTTCGCTAACCTTAGCTTTTCAGGAGCTAGTCGGCGTGCTTTAGAAAATACAGGTGGTCCTGTAGTCGTGATGTGATGTGTAACATTGCTGGTTACACACGGTAGTTTCGTTTGAGTTTGTTGTATCTCAGGGTACTTATCGAGTAGTGGTTGATAGAGTGG